TCCACAATATCAGGATTATCAATGTACCTCAAAGAACAATTAACAGGTCCAAGTACTTTTACCACCTTGGCAGGGCCTTTCCATTTTGCTGCCAACTTAGCCATATACCCTTCGTCTGCTCTGGAAAGAGGATGGGTCCGGACCCAAACCACATCTCCCACCAAAAACTGCACTGGTTTATGCCGCTGATTATAGTACCTTTGCTGTTTTTCTTGGGCTCGTTCAACGTTAGCTTTCACCAAGTTGATGAGTTGCCGTTGTCTGTCGAGAAGAACATATGCAGGGTTATCTGGATCAGGGGGTTTGTGGATGGCTCTTTCTATGGGTCCTTTCAATTTTCGTCCCAATGCAACCTCTGCAGGGGTGAAACCTGTGGTCTCATGCCATGCAGTGTTAAGAGCAAAACGAAACTCTGCTATCCATTTGTCCCATAGTCGATGTTGATCACCGACATAAGAAGCAATCATTGTTTTGAGGTTGCGATTAACCCTTTCGGTAAGGTTGGTTTGTGGGTGGTAAGCGGTTGTTAATTTCTGAATAACCCCCCATTGCTTGCAGACTGAACTGAGTAATTGAGATGTGAATTGTACCCCTCTATCTGATACCAAGAATGTAGGTGTACCCCATCTGGTGAAAATCTCCTCCACAAGAATCCAAGCTATTTGTGGTGTCTTGGCTGTACGCAATGGAAACATTTCTACCCATTTAGAGCAATAGTCAACAACCACGAGGAGGTATTCATTTTGTTTACTGCTCTTAGGGAAGGGTCCCATTAAGTCCACTCCTAACATATACCCAGGTTCGACGACAGGAGTTAATTGGAGATGACCAGTCAGCTTGGTTATTGCGGGTTTGTATTTTTGACAGGTAGTACATTCTTTGCAATACTTCCATACATCATTTCTCACATTAGGCCAATATGCAATATCAAGTAATTTTAATAGAGTTTTCAATCTCCCCAGATGTCCGCTAATGGGACTATCATGTGTGTAGTGTAACATAGCTTCACGTTGACTGGACGGGATCATCAGCTGGAGTTTTTGTCCTTGTTGTCCTTTTGGTAGACTACGAAACAGAAAACCGTTCTTCATCACGTAGTGGATGCGGGTAGGATCAGCAACTTCATTGCACTGTGCCTTGTGAATCAGTTCTTGTAACTCTGGGTCGTTTTGTTGATCCGTGGCAATTTGTGTTAGATCTACTTGCAAGTTGCTTGGTATAGCTGGGAAGGAATACGTGAAAATTCATGAAGATCGGGCACTTCTGGAAAAGTTTTTGATTTTTGGCAGGGTGTTAGGTATGGGCCTAAGGTTTTTAAAAATCCATGGATACAAGTTGGGGTGGTCCCCCTAGTGGCAGTTATCCATAAAATCCAAATTGGCCCCCGCCGAAAAGAGAAAAGGTTACATCTCAGCTTCCTTTAGTCTTAAATTGTTGTATAATGTAATTTTCTCTACATTGTTTGATACAAGGAATACAATTCTGATATATTCTTCTTATTTTGAGTCCATTTCCATGTTAAATCTATTATCATAGTCATATTTAGCGCAAATAATCTGTCAATATCTCTGAAAAAGTCACATTGAAATATTACTCAGGGCCCTAGACCCATATTTTTACCTCCAAGGTATGCTTTTCTTTGTTGATTGGACAGGTCGCTATCACCATAGTGTCAAAAATCACATGTTGTGACCAAAAGGACCATTGTTGAGGCTTTAATTGAACAGAACTTCAGAACTATGCCACAGTGAAAAGTTATATTAGGCTTTTCACCATGTTAAGGATCAATATTATATTTTAGTCAAATAACACACAAAAAAAAAACAATACATACTTAAACATCATGTATTTATTAAAAACAAAAATTTTTCACTCTTCATCATTATTAGTTCAGCCTCCCTCACACTTGCACAATGTGGTACAGCGAAGTCCAGCTCGGTGGCACTTACAGTTGCCCTTGCAGGCAACCACACAGCCACAGTTGAGGAGAAGTGAGCATCCCTTGCTGACATCTTCCAGATCTGTCCAATATGGCACCCAGACTTTGGTTCTGTCATTCCATTCCCAACCCCACTCACTGGTGTCTGGAATCTCTGGAGTTTTGGAGAGGGACTGCTTCCAGACAAAAGCTGCAGTGTGCAGGGCACGCTTCCCATGCTGGAATAAGGCATGCTGGGTCGGGGGGATTGAATCCAGGGACTTGAGGCCATTAGTGAAAAGAAGCTTACAGGCTTCATTGACTGACTTGACACCGCAGTTCTTACTATACACTCACCTAAAGATTATTAGGAACACCATACTAATACTGTGTTTGACCCCCTTTCGCCTTCAGAACTGCCTTAATTCTACGTGGCATTGATTCAACAAGGTGCTGAAAGCTTTCTTTAGAAATGTTGGCCCATATTGATAGGATAGCATCTTGCAGTTGATGGAGATTTGTGGGATGCACATCCAGGGCACGAAGCTCCCGTTCCACCACATCCCAAAGATGCTCTATTGGGTTGAGATCTGGTGACTGTGGGGTCCATTTTAATACAGTGAACTCATTGTCATGTTCAAGAAACCAATTTGAAATGATTCGAGCTTTGTGACATGGTGCATTATCCTGCTGGAAGTAGCCATCAGAGGATGGGTACATGGTGGCCATAAAGGGATGGACATGGTCAGAAACAATGCTCAGGTAGGCCGTGGCATTTAAACGATGCCCAATTGGCACTAAGGGGCCTAAAGTGTGCCAAGAAAACATCCCCCACACCATTACACCACCACCACCAGCCTGCACAGTGGTAACAAGGCATGATGGATCCATGTTCTCATTCTGTTTACGCCAAATTCTGACTCTACCATCTGAATGTCTCAATAGAAATCGAGACTCATCAACATTTTTCCAGTCTTCAACTGTCCAATTTTGGTGAGCTCTTGCAAATTGTAGCCTCTTTTTCCTATTTGTAGTGGAGATGAGTGGTACCCGGTGGGGTCTTCTGCTGTTGTAGCCCATCCGCCTCAAGGTTGTGCGTGTTGTGGCTTCACAAATGCTTTGCTGCATACCTCGGTTGTAACGAGTGGTTATTTCAGTCAAAGTTGCTCTTCTATCAGCTTGAATCAGTCGGCCCATTCTCCTCTGACCTCTAGCATCAACAAGGCATTTTCGCCAAAAGGACTGCCGCATACTGGATGTTTTTCCCTTTTCACACAATTCTTTGTAAACCCTAGAAATGGTTGTGCGTGAAAATCCCAGTAACTGAGCAGATTGTGAAATACTCAGACCGGCCCGTCTGGCACCAACAACCATGCCACGCTCAAAATTGCTTAAATCACCTTTCTTTCCCATTCTGACATTCAGTTTGGAGTTCAGGAGATTGTCTTGACCAGGACCACACCCCTAAATGCATTGAAGCAACTGCCATGTGATTGGTTGATTAGATAATTGCATTAATGAGAAATTGAACAGGTCTTCCTAATAATCCTTTAGGTGAGTGTACATGAATACAGTCCAGCGTTCGAGAACTCGCATGTGCACTAATTCCAGTGTGAGGCTGGTTGGGTCTTGGGTGATCACAATGAGGGTGTCGGGGACTTCTGGGTAAGCTGCCCACGCATTCCATGCAGTTTTTTGCCAATTCCATACATTGCTGATACAACGTCACATCCTTTGAACGCGTAGAAGAGGGGCAGTGCTTGTGCAAGTGTGAGGGAGGCTGTACTAATAATGATGAAGAGTGATTTTTTTTTAAATAAAACATGATGTTTAAGTATGTATTGGGTTTTTTTTTGTGTGTTATTTGACTAAAATGTAATATTGATCCTTAACATGGTGAAAAGCCTAATATAACTTTTCACTGTGGCATAGTTCTGAATTTGTGTTCATTTAAAGCCTCAACAATGGTCATTTTGGTCACAACATGTGATTTTTGACACTATAGTGATAGTGTCCTGTCCAATCAACAAAGAAAAGCATACATTGGAGGTAAAAATATGGGTCTAGAGGCCGGAATAATATTTCAATGTGACTTTTTCAGAGATATTGACAGTTTATTTGAGCTAAATATGACTATGATAATAGATTTAACATGGAAATGGACTTAAAATAAGAAGAATATATCAGAATTGGATTCCTTGTATCAAACAAAGTAGAAAAAATACATTATACAACAATTTAAGAATAAAGGAAGCTGAGATATAACCTTTTCTCTTTTCGGCGGGGGCCAATTTGGATTTTATGGATAACTGCCACTAGGGGGACCACCCCAACTTGTATCCATGGATTTTTGAGAACCTTAGGCCCATACCTAACACCCTGCCAAAAATCAAAAACTTTTCCAGAAGTGCCCAATTTTCATGAATAGCATCCTAGCTAGTAATACATCGGTGGATTTGATCACTGCAATCATTTCCTGAGGAGTATGGTTGTTATGCACTCTGGACAATATGTCAGGCACTACATTGCATTGACCTTTACGATACTTTATTGTGAAGTGAAAGCCTTGTCATCTCAATGTCCAACGGGTGAGGCGTGATGAAGGCTTTGGGTGCTGAAAGACCCATGTCAGCGCTGAATGGTCCGTTATAACTGTAAATGGTCGACCCTCCAAATATGGCCTCCATTTTTCTACAGCCCAGATTACAGCTAAACATTCCTTTTCAGAAACAGAGTATGCCTTCTCTGCTCCTCGTAATAAACGTGAGGCATAGGCGATGACCTTTTCTTCACCTGCTGTTTCCTGAGTAAGCACCGCACCTAATCCAACCTCACTAGCATCTGTTTGCACTGTGAAAGGGTTACTGAAATCTGGGGGTGTCAACACTGGTGCTTGGGTTAAATCCTGTTTTATAGTGTCGAATGCATGTTGACATTGTTCTGACCATAGCCAAGGGGAATTTTTTTGTTTCAGTGCATGAAGTGGGGCAGCTTTCTCAGAGAAATGAGAAATATAGCGGTGGTACCAACCAGCGAGTCCTAGGAATCGTTGCACGTCTTTGATTGACTGAGGATCTTTGATTGATCTGTTTTTATTCCACTGCTTGACACAATGTGCCATAAGAAGGTGAGAGTCTGTTGCATGAAGTTACACTTGTTCAGGTTGAGGGTTAGACCAGCTTTATGGAGACAATGGAAAACTTGCTGCAGATGGCAAAGATGTTCTTCCTCATTCTTGGAGAACACCACATGTCATCAATGTAACTGAAACAGCACTTACCCTTGATTTCTCTAAGAGCCTGTTCCATTAGTCTCTGGAAAGTTGCAGCAGCATTTTTAAGCCCGAAAGGAAGACGACAAAATTCGTATAGCCCAGATGAAGTGACAAAGGCAGTTTTCTGGATGCTGTTAGGCGCCATTTCCACCTGCCAGCATCCGCTTTTTAGGTCAAGTGTACTGAATATCGTGGCACCATGCAAGGATTCCAGAATATCTTGGATCTGTGGCATAGGGTATGCATCGAGGTGAGTTTTAGCATTCAAACCACGATAGTCCACACACAATCTTGAACTACCATCCTTCTTAGGCACTACTACGACAGGTGCTGCCCATGGAGAAGCTGATGGCCTGACAATCTTCTTGGTTAGTAGATTATTGATTTCAGATTCAATGAACTGCTGCTTGTCTAGAGACACTTTATATGGGCGTTTTCTGACTGGAACTTCATCAGTTGTGAGGATTTGGTGTTTTACTAGGTTGGAATGTCCTATTTCGTGAGTGCATACTGCGGGCCATTGCAACATTAACTTTTCCAATTGGGTTCTGACCTGAACAGTAGTATTAGCCTGTTGAACCAGTTTTTGGATGGACAGTTGTGTTTCATTGGATGTAGGAGGGATGGGTAGGGCTATATAAAAATGTACTGTCGCTTGGGATCCATGTGGCAAAAAAGGGAAAGTTTCTTCAGCTCTTCCTTCTCTGGCTGGTATGATGTATTGTGATCAATGAAAGTCTGAAGTCAATCCAGAATCCATCAGAAAGTCCATCCCTAGGATGATTGGCACAGTCAAATCCGCATCACTCATTATGTATAACGTTAGCTCCATCTTACATCCTTGGATCTCACACTTCCAAGTCACTCTTCCAATTGGAGTCTGCTGCTGTCCATTGGCGAGAAGAAATGCTTGACCCCCACAGGGCTGATATGACTCGTTCTTGCCAATCTGTTCCCAGGTGGACTTTTTAATGAGAGAGAGTGTACTACCAGTATCTACCATAGCTGTACAGTATCGATCTTGTAAAATAATAGGGATGGTGACAGTCTTGACTCCAGTTATGGCTGAATTATGGGAAGTTTGGACTATGGTCGTACTGGTATGACAAGGTCCTACTTGGAGACAGCGAGCTGATTGAACTTTCTTCTTTTGGTCAGCTGTATTAACTTGACTCCAATACCTCTTAGACTCTTCAAAATCCCTTTCGATTTGTGTGCCAATCCTCACTAGTTCAGCAACATCCTTCACGGTCCCTCTTAACAGACTAGCTAGACGAGGGTTACAGTTTCTTAGGACAGCCTGGACAATGTCTCTCTCACTCATTCCACTTTTCCATTTCATACATAACGCTCGAGACCGGTAAGCAAAGTCCCGAAAACATTCCTTAACCCCTTGTTTCCTTTCTTGTAATCTTCTCATAGCTACATGTTCGTAATCTTCACTTAAGAAGGACTGCAAGAAGACTTCTCGAAACTGCTTCCAATTCCTCACGTTTTGCCGTTCTGCCAGCCACCAGTCTTTAGCGGTACCTTTGAGTACAGCAGTCAAAGCAGCCATAATTTCCGCATCACTGAGAAGTCGAACTGCAAAGTACTCTTCACATTGCTCAATGAAGTTTACAGGATCCTCTTCCTGAGCGTCACAGAAGCTAGGGAACTCAAGTTTAACCGGGGGATTGTACTGCAAGGATGTGTGACTTTCTTGATAAATTGAGGGAATGTTCTGTACATTATAAGTTTGATTTTGAGAAGCTGTATAAGGAGTAGAGCAATTGGGAATAGTCTGTGCAGAGTTATGCAAGCGAGCATTGAATGATTTGAACTTTTGTTCAATTTGGACATCCCTCCGTTTCAAACAGTCAATCATGGATTTTCCTAAGTCCCTTATTGCTAGTTCCAGTTGTTCCTTCATTCTATCTCTCTCTCTATCAAAACGATAGTTCATTTTTTTCTTCAGCGTTTGACACTTGGATTCCAACAACTCTTGAGAAACACACTCACTCAACCTTCGTTTGTTCTCTTCCCAGCTGCCTTCAGTTAGTCGATCTGATAACTTCTCTACTATCACTGTTGTTGTTATTGGTGTAGCTTGGTCATGCTCACTTTCCCATTCAAGTGGGGGTGGAGGTAGAAACCTTTCCTGCACATCATCTAAGCTATTTTCCTTTTCTTCCTCTTCTTCTTCATCAATGTATAAGTTGCTGAATGTGTGCATTAACTCACCCAATGGGTCTCTTCGGGTAATAAATGTCTCAGATGAGAAATCCAGTTCAGGACCATATTCATCCTCTCCCAGAGCAGCCTCACTTGCCATGCTGAAACATCTGAAATATCCACTGAACACAAAAGATTATAAATGCCTACAGGTCCCTGTTCGGGCGCCAATATGTAACAGTTCGTCTAGTATTCACACCCAGACGAATTGCCACAAGATTTATATTAGGGAGGGAACCGCCGGCTATGCTCTGTGTTAGTCTAAATACTCAGTAAGACAAGAAATAGATGCAAAAGTGAGTATTATTCACAACAGAAAGAGGTAAAGAATACATACCACCATCAATACATGATAGGAAATCACACATATCATGGCCAGAGTCAAGGCATTTCAACATAGAAGGAACACGTCATACATCAACAACACTATTTACAAAAGCAGTGCAAAAGTTCTTATCTGGATAGGCAGAAATGACGAAGTCCTTTCTGCTGTACTTAAGTGCACGAAAGTCTGGAAACGCAATGGCTGGAGTCAGTCCGATATAATCCGTCATTAACCATGCGAGTAACTAGACTTTTCTCCTTGTACATCGACCCAGAAGATAACGAGGAGGATAGCAGTAGGGTGTCCTGAGGTTAAACAGTCCTTTTGATGCACAATCCTCCTGGATATTATCAGTAAGGACTAAAGAGTCCTTCTACAAATAAGCAAACAAAAATCAACATCATACTATATGTGAATCCACACAGGCCAAAAATAACCTTGAATAAAACAAACAAAAGACCAAATCTTACATTGACTGAGCAGAAAATCCCATAGATTCCCAGTCTGGACTCTTAAGAGTGGCACGCAGACACCATGCTGTTCGTCCCCAAACAAATCTAACTTTTTCTATCATTGCCTTACTGATATCCTAGATCAATAAGCACACTACCTCCCCCTAGTGTCAGGTAGTAGCCGTACATTCCAAAGGAAAACCAATGTGACAGGCCAAGACTGTTACACTATGAACTCAGATTTAGGACTACAGCTAAAGTTTTAAGGCTGCATTTGTTAAACAAAGCAGAGTTAATTTGTCCTATGTATTAATTATTTCATGAATTAATTCATAGACTCATTTGTTCATACATTGTGTAAACATCAACACTAACACTGGTGATTTTTATTGCTTTGTGGTTTTCATAGCACAAAGTGATTTATAACATAAAACAATAAATAAAAAAATTCGGAAAGGTAGCTTTTCCACCTTTTGACCACAAGTGTGCACCGTGTTGAAAATCTTCGAGTAATGAACCAATTTACGATACACTTGAGGGGAAAGCCTCAGTGCTTTACAAAGCTTCATTTCACCATCACTACACGATCGTTGTCGAAAACAGGCAAAGGTCATAAACACCAGGTAATCAGTCCAAACAATAACAAACACAACAAGGCAGGGAACACGGGCAAAAGAATTATCCACGGAACAGGCAATAAATCCAAAAACCAAGAGACATAAAACCAGGGAGAATGCTCGGAATTGCAGTGTAACATTTTACAAGACTTCGCAGGGAATGAATGTGAAAACCAGGCTTATATGGTGTGAATAAACAAAATAATGACATACAGGTGGATACAATGAGTGCTGATGAGTCCAGGCAGAGAATTATGGGAGATGTAGTTTGTGAGGGAATGACAAGGGCACTCCAGCTGGTGGCCATTACAATATCCATCTCATTTATCCTTTACTTGTCCACTGAGTTCCTTCCTGGTATTTTACATATTTTTTTAATAGAAATTAGTTTTCAGCCCCACTTCATCAAGTTTATTTGACTATTATGGACTAACATTTAAATTAATCATTTGATACATTGCACTTCTTGTGTACTTGCAATATTTTTTTTATATAAGTACAAAATAAAAATATGTATGTAACTACAGCTGTAATTAAATTATGTAATTAGATCTAATTAACTGTTGACTCTTCCCTTACACCTCAACACACCCTTAAACCTAACCATACCACAAAACCTGTCTCTAACCTTTCATCCCACCTCAATAGCAGCAACATTTTTTTGCAATACAACATGAACACAGTAAGTACATTGTAACTAACTTTTTTTTTTTGTTGTTGATGAAAGTACATAGTACTTAAAGATGCCTAATATAAAGTGTGACCCATTGTCAAATAAAAATATTTGGACATTTCAATGTTTGACTCTCAATTTAGTGTATTTCTTTTTACAATACGTATTGTTTTAAGCAGTTTTACAAAGAAAAACAAACTTACTAGCACCCAAATGAACGAGTTAAAGGTTACACCATACTTTTCAGTTATGAAATATAGTTAGGCCCCTATGTGCTGAATCATATTTTAATCGTTGTTTTAGGAAGATACATGGTTGCCATTAACAGATACTTAAAAGCATACAACTTGGATGCTATATGTGTCACGTTTGTGTCTGTTTTGATCTTCTGTTTTCTTTTTAGTCACATGTCTTTTGTTTTCCCGCCACTCATTTTGTTTCCATGCCAACCATCATTAGTTCACCTTCATCACCTGTGTCCTGTTAATCACCTTCATCTGTATCACCTGGTTATGTTCATCAGTGTCTGTATTTAGTTTGTTCTGTTCAGTCGGTCTTGGCCGGTTGTTAGTCTTGTATAGTCGTGTTAGTGTTTGTTATCTGCCTGCCTGAACCTGCCTGTGATTATCTTAGTAAATTGTTGCAATTTGAGCCTTTTTGACTTTGTGTCCTTCTTCAACTGCACAACACCCTGACAATATGGTTCTGTGGTGTTATTTTTGTTATAACATAGCCTACACAAAAACGCAAGACAGTTTGATTTTCTGGTATAACCCACTGTATGTAACAATAATGAATCAAGTAATGATACAGGCTGTTTTAAGTATCCATAGCATGAGACACATTTTACTGCTGCTGCCACCTTTCTTGTCAATAGTGTTGTTTTATGAACGAGCACACTGGTAAAGTAGATATGGCATTATATAGACAGTTTCTTTGATTATAATCATGAACGAAAGATTTGTTTTATCGCTTCCTTTACACACAGAGAAAAAAAAGAGAGAGAGATTCAACAGCACTGATTTGCTCATGATGTTAGTTTATGTCTTTTCACAAACAGCTTTGTGAAACAGCTTTGTTTTCACAAACAGATTATATAATATTTGTATCATAAGTTTGGAGTTTATGGTAATATTATGCACAACACTTGCAATAAGAGCATGAATTAGCCCTAAAAATGTTGGTGCCCTCTCCCAGCTGCCTAAGATTTAAGACGAGGCCTAAGTTTCTATTTTGATGTGTTTGTTGTTTCATATTAAAAACTCTTGCCTAAATGGATTTGGTTTGTTTTTGTTTTTGTTTTTTTAATGGGCATGCATTTTGGGATCTTGCTTATACTGTAGATTTTTAACTTGTGTCCTTAGCTCTTCTCCATCCACAGAAGGGGCCTTGATTTGTGACAAAACCAAGTGCACAGCCAGTCGTGGCAGAGCGGGTTAAACCCCGCCTTGTTATTTGTGGCTGTCACATGAGTGATAGATGTGGCAGCCTATCGGCCGCTGTCCCTGGCCTATTTAAAGACTGTTTATGCCACCTGGTCATGCGTCATTGTTAGCTCCGCCCCTTGTTGCAGGCGCGCCGCCATTCAATGCTGGCCGTGTTTGGTTGGCAGCGCCGCGGTGATGTGCAGGCTGTTCCGTTCCCCCAGGTAGGCTATAGGTAAATGTTTGTAATGTAGACTTGTGCAGCTTGCGGTAACCTACGTGCTCTTCCTTCCAGTTGGGTTGTTTTTATGTGTACGCTGCTGTGAGCAACCATACGCTTATACAATTCCGTGATGATCAACTGGTATGTAATGTTATTCTTTTAAAGTTTCAACTATTATTTAACTGAGCTAATCAACTGATGTCTGATGTTTTTAGCAGGATATTGATTCCTTTGAAGATGCTCCGTCTTAATGTGGACGTTGGGCTGATCGTTTTCTGCATAAAATCCATTTAGACTGCGCTGCTGTCTTGCTGCTGTGTTATTGTTTTGTTGTATGTCTTCACCGCTACAACCATCGATCTGTTCACCGCTGCAGGTGCCGAAGTTGTGTACGTGGGCTCGCCCTTCAGTCATCTTATCATTGGCTGCCTGTGTGTTTAGTTGTATGTTTCTTTATTTTTGTTTTTGGTTAGATTGGATGTTGATTTATTGTGCAATGTGTTAAGCTGCAACTTTGTTGCCCTGTGATTTTTGTGAACTTGTTTTGTCTACAAGTTAGTGCTCCCTTTGTGGTGAGTGTTTGGTACCACCAACCACTCCGAATTTTGTTATTAGTTGTGTCTAGTATCATTTGTTTAGTGTATTCATTAATCTTGTTTTTGTTTATTTTAGGCTGATGGACCCCGGGTTGGGAGGCTAGCTTTTCTTGCCTTCTGGTGGTGGTACTTCAAGCACTGAGTGTGGTTTGCCGCTTGTAACCACTTATACCTCACTGGGCGTGTGTGTGTGCGCGTGTAGCTTTTGAATTAGATACTTAGCTAGCCTCCTCCACTCCGGGTGAGCCTCAGCCATCTTAATAATAATTTATTGTATTTTTTTTTGTTTTGTTTATCGTGTGTGTGTGGATGAACAGTGTGGTACGAGTCATGTGTGTGTGTGTGACATCCTGCCTTACAGTGACCAGAAAGTTTTACCTATTGATGTGAACTTAATAAATTAACTTTTGTACTGATATCCACGTCTCTTTGCCCTCCATGGTAACGAACCTGTGTGCCCTATTTACATTGGGTAGTTATTTCCCCTCTCTCTGAAGAGGGGTGGCGTAGTCAGCTTGTTATTTATTTACCACTATACGATTTGGTACTTGTGAACCGTTTACCACTCACCACAACGCTACATAGAACACTAGTACTGTGTCATAACCAATTCCTGATTCTTCCTACCCCATGTTTTCCTCTGGTCTTTCTAAAAATCCTGAAGACTGTTCAATTGCTCTACAACAACTCTCTCAACATGTTCACAACAATCTTGTCCTGTACATCATAAATTTGTAAGACAGTTATTGATGATATAGTCTGTCAATATATTCTAATAAAAAGTAAGAAGAATAGGATGGCATTAATCCTATATTTTGATTTGGATTTGCTCAAGACATCTGTTGGACTATGTCCTTAATGTATGATGTGTTGATGTGATAGATAATGTTAATGTAAAAGCTTGGAAGTTTTAGATTCTAAATAACTTAAATTTAGAAAATTGACATGTTCAAACACATATTTCATGAGTAACCGATGACTTTGTTCATTGTAAAGAATTCACAAAGCATGAACAAGAGAAGATATAAGACATTTTAGTCTGTCTGCAAAAATTAGAAGTTCAAAGGCATGTGTAGTCTTTAAACTGGTTGGACCTTACTGTATGCTTCAGGATGCAGTATGAACTTTCATTTAAAAGAGAGAAAGGGTTGACTCTTCTAGTCCCCAGTATGTCTTTAGCAAGGGGCTTTTTTATGGGGGGCAAGTGTGGCAGACTTAACAAAATTACAAATTATTCACATTTCTCTTAAAGTCCAAGTAAAGTCAAAATTAAGTATGTGTTCTGAGTTTGTCACACCACAGAAAAAATGTGTTATTAGCCAACCAGCCAAATTTGAATGATAAAAAAAGCCGCCAAATAAAATAAGCTATCAAAATCTTGTCTCTTGTCTCAAATGAGCAGTATTCTCTGCTCTCAACTGCTGGGGGCGTGTTCACTGGCTGCGCTGAAACCACGCCCACTCGCCTGACGGGAGGATGAAGGCCGAGGCGGGAGATAGTCGGTTCGGCCCCATTCCCTAGTAACAGCGGATTATCAGTGAATCCCAGTTGTCTCCGACGAAAGTTTATAAAACTATCCTGTGTAAAATGATCACTACAGAGGCGGGTGTTGGTGGTGATCCTCAGCTCTCCATCAAGGTGGCTCTTCACAAAATTAATCCACCTCTTCTTGAT